TTTGCTGTTCATTTTACTGTTTAATTTATATTTTTCCAAATTAGAGTATTTTTACTCATTTTGGTAATAGTACGTACATGTATGTAATGATTTTCATGCAACTTGGCTGTTTTTAGCGAAGATATAAAATCGATCAGATTCACTGCTTTTATTCTATGTATTTAAAGTCAAACTTAATTTTTTTTCGATTAAATCGAATATAAATCCTTTAATATCAAATCAGGCTTGATTAAAGACAGACATTCATTTATTTTTGCATATATTCAAAAGTTAAAAATGGGAAATCAACATTCAAAAAAATCATACAACGAGACTCCAAACATGTTTCCAAAGAAATTTCTAGTACAAGTACGGATGAATGTCCTCCACGTTTAACGGATTCGAGTCTTCGTTACGTAGATGGCAAAAAATATTATCGAGATACTCCTTGTGTATTCCCAGTTGATGAAAGGGAAACAATACGAAACAAAGAAAAGCAAATCATAACGAAACTTTTATGGCAAGGAAATTTCTCTGCGCCAATCGGAGATCATTTAAAAGCTGGAGGATTAAAAATACTGGACGTTGGGTAAGCGTTTATCTTTTGTTTTATAATAATGACGAATATAATTCATAAATAATCATTTTAGATGTGGTCCAGGAACATGGATACTCGAAATGGCCAAAACATATCCATCATGCTTATTCACAGGTGTTGATATTTCCCCAACTTATCCCTTAAGAGACTTGCCAGAAAATGTTGAATTTATACAAGCCAATATACTTGACCGTTTACCAATCGAAAGCGGCAAATTCGATTTCGTGGTCATGCATTTTTTGAATGGTTGTTTCACACTACGACAATGGGAATCAATAATTATTCAAGAAGTTTCTCGCGTTATGAAACCTGGAGCATGGCTTGAGTGGTTGTTGTGTGACGCATCTTTAAAAAACCAAGGAGAAAATACTAAAAAATTGCTGCAAGCTTGTAAGTCTTTTAGACTGAACTTTAAGACTCTTAAGTTTTATTACAAGTGAAAGTAATGCTTTATTTTAATAGTCTTATCGTTAGTACATTCACGAGGCATAAATCCATGGACAGTCGTTGAAATTCCAGGAATATTAAAGAATTCAGGGAAATTTGTAAATATAAAATCCGAAAAACGAGTAGTCACGTATAGTTTTAGAGAATCTGGTCAATTAGTAAGTATTTTGTTAGCATTCATTAATTCATTCGATCTTGGATTGATCGATTAATTTTAACTTCTTCAGGCTACAAAGGGCTTTATGGATATGTTCCAATATATGAAAAAACCAATTTCTGAATTTATGAGTATCACGTCTCACGAATACGACCAGCTGCTCAACAAAACACACGAAGAACTTGAACAAGGTCAAACGATGAATGATTATTGACGGTTTTATGTGCAAATAATTGATAATGAAAATACAGTCAAAAACGATCCCTTCATATAGCGATATTTGATTATTGTGAACTTTTGCCAAATTCCCGATTATACTAAAATCACTTGTTTATAACGATTTTAAAATGCTCATTATAAGTTGCACTATGATTCGATAATTAGTTAAAGTAGTGAATCTTTTAAAACCATGAAATTATAAAATTTTATAGTATGCCGAAATTATCCAAATACAAATCACAATTAAAAAATGCACGTAAATCACTTGCTAAGAAACGCGAATTGAATAATTATTCTCTCACCATTAAAGTTTATTATTTTTAGTTATTTTATTAAATATAGATAAAATAATTTTATATCGATATATATCATATAACATCTATATTATAAGAAACATAGAATTCGTAAAAACTGTCAACAAAGTGGTGACTAAACATGATTCACAAATAAACATAATACAATTTTTTCTTGTAGTCAAAAGTAATATAGAATACCTGTAGAAAGTTCTAACGATAGATATATGTCTTCAAGAAAATTAATACAATTGAACTAGATTTCTTTTATCTGAAAAAGTGATATATTAATTTGGAATCTTAATAATATAAGATGGATAGGGGTATTGTGACCAAGTTAAATTTTTACTAGCAAAACTTTTTAGATAGGTAAGGGGATTGTGGTCAATTTTAAATTTACTATATTTTTTCTTTTTATATTTATAATGTTTTCTTTTTTGTGCAACTTCTCTTTTTTGAATTGTTACCTCTTTTCTAATTTGTTTCTGCAATTTTTCTTTCCACTTCTTCATTTGCTAATTGTTACCAACTTTTCTTTTTATAAGAAGTTATGCAAATAGAAGTAATTTCTTTTTTTATAATAATTCAGATTCCTGTTGATTTTTTAAAGACACTTTCAGAAATTTAGCTTGCAAAATAGGAGGAACTGGATACTTGAAAACTGGATTTTATAAGTTTCTAATTATCTTTTATCACTGAAAATTGAGATTTTAATATTTTATTTCAGTTATGAAAATAACTCGATCAATTGTATATGGTGCATAAAATCTAAAGTCATCAAACGTTTATATTTTATAAAATGTATAAACTTCTTTACTAAGAAATAAATATAAAATTTAATCTGTGAATATGATAGAATGGGCCTTTTCTGGACATATTCACAGATTAAATTTGGTATTTACTTCTTAGTAAAGAAGTTTATACATTTTATAAAATACAAACGTTTGATGACTTTAGATGTTATGCATCATAGAGTTGATAAAGTCGTAAAGTAATAAATTTGCACCATCTGAAATCTTATTTGGTCGCATTCATGAATCTGTAACTATTTGTAGCTTTAGTGTGTGGCTTTCCATTTAGTACCTCTGGAAGAATATATGGAAGTGCTCCGTAAATTTTGTGATTATATACTATAGTATTTGGTGGGTCAGTAAGTCCTAAATCTGCAATTTGGACAATATCATGCAATAATATATTTCCAGGGAAAGGCTTCCTAGGTCATACTTCTTTATAGATGTCATACAAGATACAAATTTCGACTCCACTCATCAAATGATCGTTTATCTATTACAATCTTGTATATGAAATCCGAAAATATAAATATTTGGTGCATGGCTTTCCATTTAGCACCTTTGAACTCGTAAGAAAGTACTCCAGAGATTTCTTGATCGGATTTTCTACAATGTAAGCACCATAATTTATTATTATATTTCCAATATGAAAGTCACGATTTTACGTAAACTATTAACTAATGACCCAATTCAATTATTTTGTGGTAGGAATTATGTAATATACTTGCATAATTCATATATCGTTATCGATAGCAGGATGTTTAATTATCTTTGAAAATTTCTAAAGACGCTTTTTTGTTTCTAATCCAAACAACTTTTTAGTTTATAAAATCCAACGTAATTTACTCGAATCATTCGATTCATGATCCCACTCGTATTTGTGAAAAAATGCTTTATAAATTGTTACACCTCACTTTACGGGTATTTAACAATGGTAAACCTTTCAAATGGAATCCATTCGAAATTAATCCTTAGACTGTCGATCTCTTTACGTTTGCTAGATCATTCAGCTTTATCGTTATAAATTTGTTTGTGATAATAAAAACAATGATCTGCAGTAAAAATTTTCTTCGCAGTAGTAATTGTATCAATATTGGATGCATTTACTATAAACTTGATTTTAAGCTTCCACCTTTTTTAAAAATTTAGCGTTAGAAGTAAATGATATAACGATAATGATAAAATTACATATTCATGTACATATACAAGTCGATCTCTACATACGTATCGAACAATAAAATATTGCTCATAATCTGGTGATCTCGTCAGAATGATAGATTTTTTAGCCAATAAAGTGAATTCATAATTTTTTCAAATCCACAATTTTTAACAAGCGTTATCCCAGTATTCCTGTTTTGATATAAATATCAAATTCGTAATATGATAAGTATAATCAGAACGCATCCCACTGCTGATTCATGAGCTCTGTGCAATCCACCTTCACGCTACACAAGAGCCTGGGGGAGATGGCGTTGGAGGATCTTTGTGAGACTTTTATATTTTTTTGCAATAAAAGTAAGGATCAACAGTAACATTATATATCAACCTGTTTTTTTTGAAAGGTAGATCATAATGAAAATGAAATGCTTTCTTTGAAGATCATAACGAAATATTTTTTTTGAAGATTATAACAAAAATGAATGTTAGATAATTGTAATTTGCAAGAAAAATTAAGATTTATATCTATTTAGCTGAGAACAATAATGTTATTTTGGAATCTTTGAGATTTTTACTTTCTAACGCAGTAATGCACAATGGTCTTGGAAGTTTGGTTACAAGAATCAGGTGATATTTAATTCATTCATTTCATATTGTAATGAAATATCTATATTGATCACAAT